TCCATAAGCAAGCGTGTGTGCATACCGTTTAACTCGCATTTTCACAGAGCTAGGTCCATACCTTAACTATAGCACGAACTAAAATAATATTAATAGCTTTATACCCGTCATATAATATTTTAAAGAAGTTAGGCCTATTCAATTACAACCAAATTTAAATGCTGTTCTGTCTGTTGTAGTAAATGTAGTAAGAAAGCCAAGTTAAGTAGGCTACTCTACAACCTCCTGTTTTATACATACAGTGAGTATATAGTATGACGGCATAGGCTGTCTTAATACCATACTCATACTAAAATTGTATATGTAAGCAGTCTGTATATATTCGAGTTATTGGTTGGCTTTTTCACTTTTAAAACATGAGGCACACATGTATTTGCTTTCAGTATATCTATGAACTCATGTTTATAACCTCATAACAAGTTTAACAGTTTTAAACATATGTAGGATATTATAATTACATCTGATGCCAAATATTCCACAGAAGTAAAATGAAAAATTGTAATGGGTTAGGCAAGTCATGTCAATAAAATGAGCCTAATCATGGGGGAAAATAGAGAAACATCTTGCAGTGACTACCAAAATGAAAGTTCTGTAATTGAAATCCTAAGTATGGTCAACCCTTCTATAGAGCTGTGAATGCTGGACAATCACTGAACACATTGAATTTAAATACAATGTACAAGCAATAGAAACGTGGTTTTTTAGGAGACTGTTGAGAATATCTTGGAAGTAAAAGAAATCCGATGAAGTAGTACTTGAAGAAGTCAACGTGGAGCGATCTCTGATTAAAATAATACGGAAAAAATGCACTTTTTGGACACATGAATAGGCATAAAAGCCTCGAGCATATAGATCTAGCTCTCATTGGCAACATTGGAGGCAACCGAGACAGGACTGTAGCCTCAGACAATGTACTTATGGAGAGCCTAAACAGAAGGGTGACGGGGAAAGATCAGGATAATGTAGCTTTTTTGAGAGCATCCGAGCTAAGGAATATAAAGGGAGAACCATGTTCGCCAATGACTGTCGCACATCTGACTCTTGATGATGATGATGATGATGATGATGATGATGATGATGATGATGATGATGATGATGATGATGATTTTTCACATCTTAGGGCGAAAACATAGAGAACGCCGAAACATGAGCCGCTGAAGATCGACGCGGACAGGCGCCAGTGGGTGTCTGCTTGACTCCACATTGAGGGCGCCAAAAGCCTAGATTTAGATATAAGAAAACATTACACCACAACACAGCTGGTATCTATATGAAGCATTTATTTGGGGATTAAAAAACCTCGAAATTCCTAAAAAAATATTGCTTATAATGTAATTCTGTTTTCATGTCACCCTAACTTGACGATGCTGATTTCAAAAATGTAATTAGTTTTTGTCTACCGTGAAGCTCCAGCTCTGAAATGGCCATTTAAAATTGTCCCCTGTCCAGTGGGGGTCACGCAAACCGCTCAACCCGAGTTGGCGACGGCGAGACGGCGAGATGGCATTGAAAGTTCGCGACCTCAGTGCTTTCTTGTCGCATCTCCATTTTTCATAATCGTGAAAGCAGTTCACAGCAAATAGTGAGCTTAAGAAGAAGTCTCATTTATACTGTTCAAAAATTGAGATACGACAAGAAAGCACTGCGGTCGCGAGTTGACAGCGAGACGCCCTTCCCATTTTTTCGGCGTACTAATGTAGTTTGGATTCCGATAAAGTCGACAACGCCGATCCGAGCTTAAAGCCGCCTGTAGTCTGCCAGCTTTATGTGGGGCAAGAGGGAAATCACAATGGAATTTTTATACCTATCGGCATTACTAAGTCAGTCTCCGAAATCGGCGTTCTCTATGTTTTCGCCCTTATGCCTGAGTTTTACTTTGACTCCTTAGGCTACTGTCCCTACCACAAAAGTCACCTTGACCCGTCACTAATTGCAACCGAATTTCTGTTTGCTGTAAACTATATATTGTGATGCTAAGATAACACTGCACAAAATTATTTTAAAAAATCGGGTTAGGCATTATGGTGTTATTAGGCCTTCAATGACGTCACAATAACATAACATACATAGGATAAGTAATACTTAACACAACCCCGTCGTGTCGCATCTCATATTAAAAAGCATTAAATATTGTCTTTTTAATTAGAGCTACACTTGAGATTATTTATGACCAGAGCGGGCTATTTGCGGATATCGATAAGTTACATTAAGTGTGACACTCAGTCAATAAGACAATATATAATTAGAAAGACACTATTTCATTGACATGAAATACATAAATACATGTAGTGTAGTGGCACGTGGGACAAGTTAAAATGCGTTAATAAACATATTATATCTACTACATTGTACTTCACAATAAGAAAAGTGGGCTAACATATAAGTATCCTCTATACCAAACTAATGTTTTTGTGAATTAAGGCAGGTGACACCGTGGCACTCTCCACAAGCTTATGAGGATTCCAGTCCGTGTTTCCAACAGGACAGCGTCGAGTGTCACAGTTGTCCTTGTAGGTACATAGCACAATTTTCAGAAGGTCTGGGGATGCTGCCAACAAGGTGGTCATGATGGGAACATAATGCCCATCCTCATATTTCCATCCCCATTCTACGGGATTAAGCGTATCATTTCCCAACCACTGTTGCACCTGAAGATGCACTCTTAGGCTATGATACTTAGTAGCAGCTGATGTCGGAGGAAGTGCTTTATATCGCGCCTGTATAAAATCAAATGTTGTGCCTGTTGCAACTTTTGTGCAGAAGATACCATGGTGTAGTTCATCAGACTTTATTCTGGTTTTCCATTGTAAAGAAGCACAAGGGCTTTCTCGCCTGAAGCAGCAACACTTTGGGCAGATTGGTTTGTCATAAAATCTGTACCTCTAAGAGCATCATTTTGTTTTGTTGGAGCTTTTTCAAAGCAGTGCCTTTCCCGATACCGAATGATCTTGAGGTGGTGTCACAGCCAGTAAGGGAATGGAGAAAGAGAAGAGAATGTCGAAATGCCCCTAGTTGAATAATTAATCATTGAATAACCCATTGCTTAATTTTTAAGCTGGGATGTTTTTGTTTGAGTAGAAATAGATGTTATTAGCATGTTCATCAGCATAATGAACTAACAGAAGGAGAAGATCTGTATCTTCTCCTATTACAGCGGTATCTTTGTGCTGCGCACACTTGATTGCTGTTTGGACAATCTTAAGGTCAGCATCACATTTGCTGTCAATGGGAATGTGTCCTCTGTCTTCAAGCACTGACCCGAGGGCATTGATAAAACGTTGCTTATTTTCTTTGTTGACAAGAAAAATACCATTTGAAGATTGGAGAACCATGTCTAACTTAAAATGAACAGCTTGTCCTGTAATTCCTTCGGCTCTTTTGAGGCGTGTTACGTCTTTTGTCGACAGTCCAGACAAATATTTCACCAAAAACAATGGTTGCGTTTGGATAATTCTTACTGACATACAATAAGAAGCATAATATGTCTCGATAATACAAATGAAGGTGCTCCTTCGATCGTTGCCAGGGGATACGCAGCAGCAAAGACCCTCCATCAAATGACGATCTGCAGCTGGTGATGGCAGACCAGGCGTAACCGTTGCCCTTGATTTCCAAAGTTCTTCTAGCATAGCTGATTTGTTGGATTCATGAAGGTTATCTGCAGAGTCAAACAATGACGAGGGGTAGCAGCAAAGTTTGCGTGTAAAAATCACTGTCTTGTCTTCATATTTTTAAGTTGCAGCCCTGTCACTAATCTCTGAAACAACAACTGAGAGTCAATAGTTACATGGTCTTCCAGTTAGCCTTTAGAGATGTATTTGCAGTCATTACAAAAACCTTGTCTTTTTTCTTCAAGGACAATTCTGAGACTGATCCACCTTCAATTTTTCTGAGAATAGTTTGACCTACATCTTGTGCTTTGTCAACGTTGACAGCTATTTCTGCAACCACCCTCGTAACGATATTTCTCAGACTAGCGTCTTCAGCCAACGGATTTCTCTCATGAAGAAACTTGGTAACAGCCATCATATCTTGTGCTTCCTTCCTTTACAGATCTCGATGGACTCAGTTCTTTGTGCAGTTCAGCTGGCTTTGACAGAAGCCACGTTGCTGTCTGTAATACCTGGTAAGTGTTCATCAATAATAGCCTGCATGGAACTTAGCATACCAGTCCGGAGAAGGGGAGGGGGGGGGGGGGGGGGGGGGGGGGGAGTGACTTATCTACTATGATGCACGAATCATGGAGCACCCCATTTTTCATTTCACCATGGCTTCAACTTGAACTAGCATGAAAGGAGGTGAAAGGAGACAATTCTAGAGAAGAACATTTCTTGGTCGCTACTCGGATTAGAATCTGGGACCTTTGAATGACAGGCCATGAGAGCCTCTCCGAAAATTCAATTGTCTGCGTAGGCCTACGCACTTACAAATTTGTTATCCGTATCGGTATAATGAGAACATCGTGATGTCCCCCCATCACACGTACCCTTAGCGCTAAGCGCGTACGTACCTCTTCCACCCAAGCCAAAACCTCTGCTATTCAAGTTTTTCGATTGTGAAGGGGAATTTTTAACTGCATGGTAACAAAGAATGGTGAAATTATAATTTTAAAAAAGCGCTTGCGTCTCGAGTCTTCAGTTAGATCTATGCAAGGCAGGCTTATAGATCTAGATCTAGATCTAGTCAAGCAAACGGATTGGAGACGAGTCTTTAAAAAAACAACCACACACACGCGCGATACGATGGCACGATAGATTTAGAATCAAGATAGCGCATAATATATACGTTCGATACAAGGATTTTGCCACTCCACCTCGAACCAAAAGAAAGCAAAATCACCACAAAATAAGCCAGACGCGGAGAGTTGATCCGTGTTGAAATAGCGGGCATTTAATAATAATAATAATAATAATAATAATAATAACAGCAGAATAATAATAATAATTTTTAAAAAAAATATTCAAAACGGGACCGCGTGCGAAATGCGAAATGCGAAGATGCCGAGTCTGTCGGCCATGATTGATTGACCACAGCCGGCCAGCCTCAAGCTTCAACTTCAAAGAGTGCAATATAGATCTACCCCTTGCCCCGTGTAGTATTAGAAAAGAGACAAGTACAAACCCAAGTACATCTAGATCTACAAGGTATTTAAAGGAACATAAGTGTTGGTAGAATAGTACTTTCACTCCCGCACACAGATGAACTGCTTCGGCTCCGGGGTGGGGGGTCTCAAACTCACTGCAGTGCAGTCACTACACTACTGTTGTTTGAGTTTGCTGCAGATCACTTAAAGCCACTAAAACTGTCGCAAATCAGTTATTTTCAAGAAAATTTCAAATCTAACTGGGTAAGATTGAAGAATATCGGACCAGCGGACTGACTTTGCTTATGTCTCAACCTTAGGTTAGGTAGATCGGCGCTTTTTCGGCAGATCTAGATTAGATCTAGATTAGTTCCCACCCCGCAATTGTTATTCACGGGTTTTGGCCCGAAGAGTCAAGACGTCAAGAGTAGGGGGGTTTCAGGGTGACATAACAAAAACGAAGTGTATACAGACCCTGTAACCGGGAACAAAGTCATGAGGTATACAGACCCGGTAGGGGAACTCTTTTGTGATTTCGGAAAGTTTCAGCCCCCAGACCCGGTAGAAATCTAGTGTGTGTGTGTGTGTGTGTGAGAGAGAGAGAGGGAGAGAGAGAGAGAGGGAGAGAGAAAGAGAGGAGGGGGGGGGTGCTAGCAAAATATATGCCCCAGTTGGCAGGAGGGAACGAGAGAAAGATAGAGTGGGAAATAGGTGGGGACAAAGAAAGACAGAGACAAACAAAGAAAAAGAGAGGCGAGCGATACACAAGAGGAGAGAGAAAGAGAGAGAGAGAGGGGGGGGGGGGCTGCTCGATTGAAATTATGACATTGTAACTTGCTCTTTTCTTCAAATTGTGATTCCCCTAACTCCAAAACGGAGGAAAAAGGATCGTTCATCGAAATGACATCCGCAATCTTCATTTAGATCTGGGCTAGCCGCGAAACTAGATCAAAGATTTAGATCTAAGTTTGTCTGCCTAGATCTAGATGATAGATCTAGAAGCAAGAACCTAGGTCTACCCTGAGCCAAGAGGGCGCTGGAAACTCTCCGAAATCACAAAAGAGTTCCCTTACCGGGTCTGTATACTTTGTGACTTTGTTCCCGGTTACCGGGTCTGTATACACTCCCTAACAAAAATTAGGAAGGGGGGTTTCAGGGGGGCATGCCCCCCTAAATTTTACCACAATTTAATGGTTTGCTGTTGTTAGGTTTGATATCTTAGCTCACCGCGAATCAAACGTATAGATCTAGATCTAGACTAGATGTAGATCTAGGTCAGGCTCAAATAAGGGGGGTGGGAACTACCGAAAAAGCACTGGTAGATCTAGAAATCTAGATCTAGGCCTTAATAGGCTAGGAATTCATGATTCGAAGTGTATACAGACCCGGTAACTGGGAACAAAGTCACGAAGTATACAGACCCGGTAGGGGAACTCTTTTGTTGTTTCGGGAAGTTTGAGCCCCCCAGACTAGACCCGGTAGAAATCTAGTGTGTGTGTGTGTGTGAGAGAGAGAGAGGGACTGCTCGATTGAAATTATGACAATGTAACTTGTTCTTTTCTTCAAATTTTGATTCCACCAACTCCAAAAGCGGAGGAAAAACGATCGTTCATCGAAAAGACATCCGCAATCTTCATTTAGATTTAGGTTAGCCGCGAAACTAGATCAAAGATTTATATGTTTGTCTGCCTGGATCTAGATCTAGACCATAGATCTAGAAGAACCTAGGTCTACCCTGAGCCAAGAGGACGCTGAAACTCTCTGAAATCACAAAAGAGTTCCCCTACCGGGTCTGTATACTTTGTGACTTTGTTCCCGGTTACCGGATCTGTATAGCCTACACTCCCGTTTTTAATATTAATCCGATCCCAAATGGAGGGGAGGACTTCCGTAACGAGTGACCACTATGAGACAGACAGGGTTCCCGCGGCCTCCTTGAATTCAAGGAGTCCTTGAAAACTGCTTGAATTTGTTTTCAAGGAAAAATCTCCTTGAAAACTCCTTGAATTTGCATTCAAGGAAAAATCTCCTTGAAAATTCCTTGAATTTTGCCAGATCGGCCAGGAACACGTGTACAGGGTGAATCCCGGGGGCCCCTGGAATTACCCAATAATTTGAAAAAAAATCGCCGAGACCCGGAATGCAACGGGGATTTGATGAAATCTGTAAATTGCCCAGTGAAAGACTCAGGAAAATACATAAACGTTCTCGAATATTTGAAAACCTAATCCGTATAACGTCTTTGAGTCCATTTTTGCGGGTCACAGTTGTGATATATATATTCATTCGGCGTTTCCCGGCCTGAGAGTACGTTACACGCGCACAGGCGGTTATGGTGCCAAAAAGTGGAAGTGTATGTGTGATTCCGAAGCTCGATTGGGAAAATGAAGATCTACTTTCGCTTTCGTTACCACCTGGAAATTTGCCGGTAGGACCTATAGTAGTCTGATAGCTCTATATTTGTAACATGCAGGTTCTGCATTACATACGCTGTGTCGTCATGAAAATAATTAGTTTTTCCTGTGCTGTCACTTGTGAAAAAAAAACAAAGAAAAAGAAAGCTTCTTGCCGGGCTCGCCTTCATGACCGGTCATTGAACCAGTGCGTTTTCGTCACATCGTGAGTATCGGCGATGGTTGAGGTCACCAAAGTTCATGCAAATTCTGAGCGCTGCGAAGTATAGGACTCGGGAATGGGGGGATTATTTTATTTTTTTTAAAACGCATGCGGGGGAGGGGGGTGGGGTGGGGTTGAAGGCAACACCGGATGACAAAAACTGAACTTGGAAGCAGATTTTACTTTTCAGAATTTTGATTACTAGATCTAGATCTACTATCTAGAGCTCTCTGCAAAGCGCGCGTTGGTGCAGGCCTTGTGTGGAATCGGGATCAGTCTTACTCAAACTTTGTAAGCCGTCTTTTTGTAACTAAAGGGTTCCTGTTTCATTGATTGTACATATGTATTCTATATAATTTTAACTTTCTGTTCAAGATTTGCAGATTTTTTGTGTCACTGCATCTTGCCCTCCCACAGTTCTTACACCTCTCACACAGAATAGGTCTACTTGAGCCATTCATGTTATTGCTCTACTTTGAGTTAGAGCAATAATTTTTGTCTTTCACGTTTATAATATGAATCATGATACCAAGACTGGTTCTTGACAGTGGATATTCTGGTTCTAGGCCTTTTCTCAGGCTCAAAGCAAGATTCTTTTTTTTTTTAATAGTTAATATAGGCGAATATGATGATGGAAAAAATATGAATAAAAGTAAGAACAGACTGAAATACCTAAGTCACAGTATCCCAGTGCCACACTGACATCATGTTGTTGACTGGATATAATGTACCTACATGTGTGCGTGCCACGTGTGTGTCTATATATTATATTATTTATTTATAATATATATAAATGGAGCATACACTGTCATTGTTATGTAATATGCCCCTGGAGAATGGATGAGCCCCCCTCCACCCCGGCCTGGAAAATTGAGAAGGCGGGTTGGCAGTCACCCTGGAAACAGTTTTTGTAGGAAAATGGAAACTATTATATGGTTCCTTTCGGACAAGTGTAGGCGTTCGAAAATAGGCTTTCATCATGAATTTTTTTACCGAATCTCCTTGAATTTTAAAAATTTCTCCTTGAAACCTCTCTGAATTGATGGGAAGTTCATGGCAGGAACCCTGGACAGAGCAGAATTGAGGAGTAGGGGTAGAATAGATCTAGGGGTAGGGTTAGGGTTAGGCCTCTTCTTTATTGTGTTTGATGGGGTGGTTGCTCGTTATGGAAGTACTTCCAAATGAATGGAGAATCTTGGACCGGTAGATCTATTCATTACAAATTTGTGAAGGGGGAGACCCCCCTGAACCCCCCACCCCCTCCTCCACCCCAACCACTCGCCCCACCCACCCCACATTCTCGCGCAATAATGTATACGAGTGGTCCGATATTCTTCAATCTTCCCTCTAACTGTAAAATATCAAATTATTAATTATGGGTTAACTCACTTGCGACTGGGCCCTTTCACCAGTCACAAGCGTTGAAGACTGGCGTTTTTGGGGGTATTTCAATAAATCACCACAACACTCAGAATTACCCTATTGTAATCATTTTTTGTCACAGTAAAATAACATTCAAGCTTAATCTAATACAAAAAACAAAAGTTGTCCAATTACTTTAATTTGTATGATTTTTAAAAAAATTGGCATGAATTTGATATTCCGAAAAATTTCCAGAGACGTGACAAGTAGAATTAAATTCACTGCAACAACAAAAATAAAAGTTCAAAGTGTTCTGGTTTGATTTGTATACATGTGCGAGTGTTTGGGGAAAATATAAAAGCTGGTCTGTGCATTGATTCAGACCCATACACTGAATTACATGAGACAGATGTACGGCACGTCGTTGTGATTTCGTTGCGCGAAAAACAACACCGGTACTAGTGCTAGATCTTGCCCTAGAACTACGACTCTGGCCGTGTTCGGGTACATATTCAGGATCCTAACTATTAGACACATCATATTCTGAGATACTAGAACTAGTAAAACGCACAGAAGTATAGAAAACGGCGAAATTATGTGATTCTTGTTCATGCGACTTCTTCGACCGTTACTACGACGCGACTGTCGGATTACTATCAGCTGTATAGAAAAAAACAAAGCGCGAGTTCCGGTCTGTTCAACCCCAGTTGGGGTCACTGTCCTTCACCTTCAATAACTTAAAAACTACCGGCCCCAGAGATACGAAACGAAGTCTAAGTAGCTCAGGTTTGGCCAAACAAGGGTACGAGGCGGGTCTCGCGATCCGTGCGTGATTTGTAGAGCGAAAAAAAAATTCCAAAGTTGGTCACGCAGGGCTTGTGAGACTCGCGGCGGGGGTCACGCAACTGTTGTGTGACCCGTCTGAAGTGAGTTAAAACAGGCATGCCCCCCCTGTAACCCCCTAGATTTTCTTTTATCCCAGTGGGGCAGGCCCCCCTGGAACCCCCCAAATTGGTCCAAAGCACGTCATATCTCTACCCTCATCCTGCTGGGGCGGGGTTTTTATAATGTCGCTCGATTTAATATAAGCCTATTTCGGTACCTCGCCTGCATTCTGGTCCCGCGTCAGTCTGGCCCCTGGCTCAGCGCACGCGCACCGAGCATCATCTCAATTCAGGTCCTTCATCGGATCCGCTTTCACGCAGCTCAAGTGTGTGCGCGTCAGTCTGCTTCAAGAGTTTGTGTGCTTTTGTGCCTTCTTGCCTTCTTCTAGAACCGCCTGTGTTGGTTCGTAACTGAGACGTACGTCTCATTCAAAACACGCCAAGTTGGTAGCTCTAGATAAGATGTTTGCCCAATGAAATTATCTATATAGAACAAAATGACCCACTTAGACATGAGGAGCTCGAAAGGATAGTCTGGAAACAAGACTTTCATTTTTACAAAAAATCTTTCAAATGAGCTTGATTTTGTAATGAAATACTAGACATGATAAAAAATAAGCTTGTTTGATCATTTTAAATACTATTAGATACAAAGAACAATTTGAGAGGAAAACATTCGGAAATTGAATTCAGTGCTTCCACTCTTCTGTATTTTTACGGAAATCCGTACTTTCTGCCAGTTCCGTACTTGTTCCTCCATCATTATCAACTCCCTCCGTAAAAAAAATGCAACAGCGTAGGACTAGATGTCTACTGAAATTCTGTAGCAAAAGGTCCGTACTCGCCTTCGTATCATCTTGTATAAGCTACGGATATTTACGGTAATTCTCTTGGCAATAAGTTAATGTTATAGTTTTATAGAGACCTGCCAGATTGCGCATTTCCAGCAATCAACCATTATTCCGCTATGCCTCATGCGTTCATTGCGGGTTGGTCGGCAGTACATTTTTACCTACAGATTGATAAAAATCTGGCGAACTTTTTGTGCCAATTTCCTCCTTTCTATCATTCACTCATTCCGTTTGTCTATCTTTGGACTGTTGCCACGGCTGGAAAATATGCGCTTTGATCAAGTATTGACTTGCGATCTTAGACGGAAAATTACTCTCAGAAAGAAACTTGTTTGCTAATTTATTGTCTAGGTCTTGAGAAATTATCAATGCGAAGATTCAAGGCACGGGAACACGATAAGGGCCGCGCTGAAATAAATTGTGCTAAAACTACTAAAATCAAGAATAGATCTAATTCGAAGTGGTGTTCCGAGGTTGTGACATGCAACATTCAGAAGTGAAAATTGTGGAAAATTATGGTATACCCTGGGTAACTGTATTGTGAAGGTGCATATCTATTCATTATTTCCAGGTTTGCCTTCTATCAATCGTGCGATGACAACTTGATTGAATTATAGAAGCAATGTAAAGGGAACCTGCTTTTAACAGACCTGCCACTCTTCCCGATTTAATCGGGATATCCTGATTTTTTGCTCCAAATTTCAAGCATCCCAATTTCGGTCGCCAGTATCCTGATTTTTTGTCGTTGCGTCTGTTGCGTCCGATTCTTAGAAAAAAAAAAAAAAGTTCTGCAATCTCTTTTGCTTGGAAGCACCGATTGGACTTTTTATGGGCAGGAACTTGGAACGCTATTTTCTAAAGCATCTATGCCGAATCTAGTAGATGACTCATTCACGTTATTTCAAGTAAAGTCGAAGTAGTATCGATTTTGAATTCCGACATGGATACGCTCAAGATCAACTTTTGCTTTTATGACCCAGAATTCTCCGATTGTGTCCTGATAACTGTAACAATTTTGACATGGGCCAAAGAATGATCTATTCGTTGTTCTGCTGTTGCTTTAAAAGCAAGCTTCGTCGGAGTTCTAGTTAGTCGGGCCCATCATCAAGACCTTGAAACTTTCAAACGTTCATTCGCTTCACGTGACATGACCTTGTACGTGTGAGTAGCGCGTGTGTCGGGGACCGTCGGCTGTCGGGGTAAACAAAGTTCATTCACACCGGTCACGTTGGTCGAGGTGTTTTTCGGGACATAAAGTGCGTGCCGTGATACAGGTACTAATTGAGGGGAAAGGAATAAGAAAAAAAAATAAATGAACAACCTTGGCGCAATCTTTTTTTCGGCGGGGGGGGGGTTGCCTTGCATGTATATGCGATGGAAGTAAAACGTATGAAAACGCGGGCTTTTTGCAGCTATGTGTCGGTTATTTTCAAAACTACGAGTTTCAGCTTTATTGCAACCTGCGCTCCCCCTGTCTATCCGACTCGGACTCGAGTACATATAAGCTGTCTTTCAGTTTTCCCACTATTTAGAGGCCCAAATGTGAACTTATTCCTAAAAAGTTTTGTCTTGCATACTTGCCTCATAAAATGGAACAAGGACCCCCACTCCCCCCAGTGCCCCTTATGACTGATTTGCCGTTGATCCCGATTTTTTTCACCAGATCCTGAGTTTTTTACTCCAAAATCCTGATTCTTCGATTTCATAGAGTGGCAGGTCTGTTTTAAACATTGCCAGCAATGGAAAGATATGTAGGTGAAAAAATCAAACAAGACAAAATGTTGGCGAACAAATAAATGTTATGGGTTGTAGGCAATCTCTTCAAACAGGCTCCCAAATGCCATTTTTAATCCTCTAAAGGCACTAAATTCCAATTTCTTCGGTGGCTTCGCCCCCTGATCCCCCCACCGGAACGCTGTCCTTGGACCCTGCTAGGCCCCCGGCTGAATTTTCCTTACTTTTCAGCTTCAGCTGGTGGAAGCACTGTATATTTTCCCCTTACTGAATAAAATGTGGGAAAGTGGAATTATGCATAATGGACATTTAAAAAATTATTTTTTTACTTTCCATCCAGATACAAAAATTGGTTTTTTCTTTTTATGGTTGGAATGAATGTAGAGATTTCACTTGACTTATTTTAAATTAAAGTCAGCTTGAGTAAACGACTTGACTGTGTTTGATGTGGTCCTCAGCTTCAGTGCGATTTAGTCAATTGCTGGAAAATATTTATGTTCCAGCAAACAGCAGCTTTAATTCAAGTGATAGGCACTGGTATAACCATGGTCGAAGTTGTTAACTCTCTTTTGTTGTAGCAGATTTGAAAGTTTCTTGTACGAGTACTTGAGTTTTAGAAGTTACAAAGAAGGATGGGCCCAGTCTATCCCCTCTGTGCCAGGAATGTTATGTTTTGTTCCAGACACTTTCATAATTTTCTGCGGCAATGGACCTGTTTTATTTCCTCATTTTTAATGGATGTTTAAGAGTTGCGATAAAGACATTGCATCATATACTGGTATTGTTTGAAATATGTGTTGCAAAAATTGTGTCTTTGATCACAGGCACCGGAGTCTTGACATGATTTAAACCTCCCAAGATGTCTAAAAAACGGCCCACAGAAAGCTCATGGGACAGGTATGCATTTATTGGTACTGGTGGTTTTCATGAGAATATGTGTTGGATTGCATTTCATGTCATGAGTTTAGTAAAATAGTAGAATTAGTATGTCCAAATTACACCATACACATGATAAAAGAATTGTTGATGTTTGTCAATTAATATGTAATCGCAAAGAACTTTGATCTTTGTGGTTTCAGTTAAACTTGCCATATAGGAACTCTGTTAGTGGAGCACAGTATTTGACCTCCACTAACCCTTCCCCCTTTCAAGTAACCTGCCTCAGATGTTGTTATTGATTTTTTATTTAATTTATTTTTTTTATTGTAGACCTAGTGTCTGATGGAACTAAAGATACACACACCTACTTTGTAAATGATATTTTACGAAGTTCCTTGCAAAATTTAAGAACAAAAAATCCCCATGTTTTTTTGTGATTTTTCTCTTGTTGTATTTTTTAAGTGTTAATTTTTGTCCTTTTTTTCTCTTCAATTAAAGTGATGAAGAGCTTCTTAGTGACACATCTGGGATCACAGCATTCCCAAAGACAACTGAGGTATGTATGATTTGCTATGAGGGGAAAGAGATAAATTTCATCATGGGACGACATCTTATAAAATTATTTGTATTTTGCTTTGAAATTGTTCTCACTTATACTCAATATACACTCTCCGTTGTTGTGGAAAAACAGCACCATAAAATTGTAGACTTAATTTAATGGTATTGAGTTTATTCTGTGTTGCTGACTGCATGCAGTGACACTAACTTTAAGCACTGTGTGGAGAAGCAAAGCAGAATAAGCAAATTCTGTTAGAGTTGAGTGCTGATTGTAATACTTTTTTCATCTGCAGTGATATGGGTCGTGATCTGAAACAGGTTGTTTGAGGCAGTTTTACTGTTTGTTTCAGCTTGATCTGTTAGGAGATGATGGAGAGCTGGATGAGGATGCATTGCTGGGCATGGATGAGGCAGGAGCAAAGGCCGTGTCTATTTCCTTTGCAAATGATTCTGTGAGACCGTTGATGGGCAGGTTAGAATCAATTGTTTCTTTACTAACATGTTTTGTTTTTTTTCTCTTCTCTATACTTTGAGTATTTGATTATTTCATTGTACTGTCTAACCAGTTTGTAATTGTGTTGCAGCCTTTATTTAAATTTGATGTTTCAAAGCTTGTTGGTTGGTGGTTGGCGGGTGCTGTGGTGTGGTTTGCTCTTTCTTTCTTATCAAACTTCTATCATCCTGATCTCTCCTCCTTCTTGTTTATGTTTGTTACTCTCTTGTTACACCTCTAATCTTTGACACTTATATGACCTTATTGTGTTGCAAATGCTGTAAAACATTTACTAAAACAAAAAAAAAAGCTTGTTGAACACTGGTCTTCAGTGGACAGTGCTTGTTTGCTTATCAGTAAAAGTCACAAGTTGAAAGTCCTGCAATGCTGTGTTGTACTCTGATTGAATAGAGAGTGGGTAAGATGTTGATAATTTGTGGTTAAACCGTAGTAAGTACTAATACTAGAGCACATTTATATATCTGATTCTGATTCTTGTTCACTGGTACGGATTTACTTAATCTTGCACATATCACCCCAGAGTCCACAAGCCATTCAATAACTTTATTTTTTCACAGGCAACATTCTCATCTTTCAAGAGCAAAGAGCTCACATGCTGTTGGGGAGGTAAGAAATATTGGATAAAACTTATGTAGCTCTGTCTTTGGAATGTGTATAGCATCCACACATAAAGCATATGCTTCTGGTCTATATCTCAAAATTAAAGGTGATTCTTCTCCCCACTCACTTTAAAGAAAAAACTGGATTGTTTTTCTGTATTTCCTCATCTTACTTTCATGACTTGATTGACTCTTACTTGTGTGTGTCATGTCACAATCTTCTATTTGAATAATCCATGGAAGATGCCTGGGGTCTTTAAAAAAAATGGCTGTGACTGTTGGATTAGTACATTTTTAGTCGTGAAACAAAGTGCTGTTGTCAAGTACTTTGAGCCTTCATGTTTTCATTCTGTGATCCCTTTAAGTTTAAGCTACAAAATGGTTTGATTCCTTTGCTTGCATAATATAGCTGTTTTTACTGAGCAAAGGTAACAAAAGAGAGGAAAGCTCTCCTGCCGTAAGCTGACAAACCGCCTTAAAAAAATTATGGCACCAAATTTTTTACTCTGCTCACTCGAAAGCCCGATCAGTTTCCCTACTTATTGAAAAATCAAGGTGAAAGTGTGACTAGTTTTTGAATGAATTAGAATTCAAACTTCGGAATAATAACTTTTTTAAATGGTTAGGCTGACAAAAAGCCTGTTCATCTCGAAACTGCTGTGAATTTTTAAAAAAAGGTGTTTTGTCAGCTTACGGCAGTATTGTGATGGTGGTTTCGTTGTTGTGTTACTTACAAGTTACAATTTCTTGTGAGTTGAATGAATGAATGTGCTTTAGATGGTCATGTTCATGGATTGATTACAAGTTCACCCGTGTATACCCTCTTCCATACCCCCCCCCCCTCTCTCTCTCTCTCTCTCTCTCTCTCTCTCTCTCTCTCTCTCTCTCTCTCTCTCTCTCTCTCTCTCTCTCTCTCTTTCTCTCTCTCTCTCTCTCTCTCCCTCCCTCCCTCCCTCCCTCCCTCCCTCCCTCCCTCCCTCCCTTTTCTGCTCTTTTTATGATTTAATTAATTTTAAGTGTCTTAATATTCTACTCCTCGTCAGCATACAATTCCAAACAAAAGTATACTTTCTGTAGTGGAAGAATAATAATAAAGCATTGTCAAAAACGATCTTTCAACATCAAAAGATCTTAAATTCCTTAAATAAGTAAAGTCTTTGGTTTGCTTTTTTTTATTATAATAGTATCTAGATGATTATTCTGAGTTTAATATCGATTGTTAGTCCCTGGTATATGTAGTTTTGGTGGCATCAACTTGTTTTCCCTTAATGCGAAGTAAAAGAATTCTTTCCAAAATAAAAAGTATCGTTTTCTTTGTTCTAGTTACTCAAATGAGAGGAAGCTTGTTGTCCCTGGCAGGTGAAATGTTCTCTTGACAGGGAGGGACTGTTGAAAGGAATTTATGTTATTCTCCTTTTTTATTGTCCTCAGGTCAACACAGGTGTTGATGAGCAAGCTTTTGTCTTTGAAGATACAGACACAGCTGATCTAGAACATGAGCTCAATGCTGGAGAGGAGGAGGATCCTGCCTATTCTATGGGAGTTGAGCAAAGTAGAATGTTTGAAGTCACAGGTGAATGATAGTTTTTTCAGTGCCTGGCAGGACACTATACTCATTCATTGCTTACTGCAGTAGTAAGAATAATTTCTTTGAGATCAGTTTAATATTCCCCATATTTACATAGGTTTTTTTGTGGACTGGTCATACACTGTACCTTTGATGTGAGTTGTATAGTTTTTATTTACTTCTTGGGGCAGGTGAGGCAGCTGAGGACTATTTCGCTTATTTTTTTTACCAAGTTTCATCACATTTTGATTATTCATACTTTCAGTTTCTTCTGTTTTGTGTATTAGTGGTATGAGTACTCACCATTCTCTGGTTTTCTGTGATGGCTACTCCTCTCTAGTGATTGTAACTCTTCAGCACTATGCTGGGTAGATTCCAAAAGAACAGTTACATTTTTCCATTGCAGGTTCAGACCATTATCCCCAAGAAGTTGGTTACCAGGAAAATTATTCTGATAACACTCAAGAGATTCATCAAAATGAGGACTATCATGTTGACAGGTAAGTAAATTCTACATTTTCATTTTGACTGTTTTGAGATCAAGTGCCCCTTGCAAGTTATTGTAAACTGGCTATGTCATTGAGCAACAGTGTTCAACATTGGAATGGTATAAAGTCTTTTATTTTGAATGCTTAGGGCATTTCTACTGAGCTGGCCTTAAATTTTATGTTTCAAATGCCTAATGTGCCAAGTGCTGTGTGTTGCCAAATAGAATTAAGTTGGTCATGTGAGTTTCTTTTTTTAAATTTTGAAATGCTCTCCCAATTTTACATATTTCATTTGTGTGAAGTTAATTTTTAAATAACATAATTTTTGTTCCGATTTTTATACTTTACTACAACCTCATTATTTATGCTTCCATACAACAGCACCGTGACTTCAGAGTCTCAAGGAGAGTATGGAGAAATGGGGTCCGCATCTTATAGTGACAGAAGTGCATTTCCTGGGACTGCTGTGTCCAGTGGCGATGGAGGGGATGATGCAGCTAATCACAGCACGGGTGTAGAGCTGGGTTATGATCAACCTACTGAACAGCATGATCAGGTGAGGAATGGAGTACGTTCTCTTACATTCTCCTTCTATTTCTCCTTTTTCAATTTTGCTACCCTCTCCACATGCTATCTTTTGACAATATCTCACAGTAAAATGTAGAAGTCTGTCTGTCTGTCTAAAAGTGTGGTTTTAAATATTCTTTTCTGTTTAAAATGCTTTTTGAAGCAGCAGCTTACATCTGTTTGAAGTGTTAGTTTTTTCTGAAGAATTGTTGCATTTTATAATGTAAATACCTCTGCAATATACCACTTGCAGGCCAGAACATAAGCATACGTCAGTGACATGTTAGTTAGTGGTCACTTGGTTGTGTCCTTGAGCCAAACATGATAAATGTAGCTAAAAAAAAACAGGGTGCTGCACAGCTGTGACTATCAATGGCATGTTTGGAAATCTGTATATTTCAGTATGAACTTAAGCCTATATACAGGGTCGGGAAATCGGGAATTTTGAGATGGGTCAGGAGGTCGGGAAAAAGTCGGGAATTTTGTGATGGGTCGGTAGGTCGGGAAAGTATAGGGCCTGTGTAATGTGCAGCTATCTAGACTGCTTGGTTGATGAATCCTAAAGAAGAAATGTAATTGAACCGCTGTGACGGAAGTGTATGTGTGACACCGAGGCTCGATCGGGAATAATCAAAATCTGCTTTCGTTACCGCCCAGAAATTTTCCGGTAATAGTCTGATAGATAACGCAACATTTGTAACATGCAGGTTGTGCATTATGAACGGTGTGTCGCCTTGAAAATAAATCAATATTGAAAATTGCCCTCTGCTGTCGCTTGTGGAAAAAAAGAAAAAGAAAAAGGAGTTATACAAGTGTCTTGACAGGTTCGCCCTCGTGACCGGTCAATGAACCTGTGAGTACCGGCGGCCTGAGCGCTGTGAAGTATAGGACTCCTTTATAAGATACACTCGTGGAAGGGGATTGGGGGGGGGGGGGGGAGCTGAAGGCAACGCTAGAGGACAAAAACTGAACTTGGAAGCAAATTTTTAGCATTTTGATTACTACTAGTACTACTTTAGAGCTCTCTGCAAAGCGCGCGTTGGTGCAGGCCTTGTGTGGAATCAGGATCCGTCATGCCTTGTTATTGAACTAAAGTGTTCGCGTTTCATTGGATGGGGTGATTGTAATTTATATCTAGATCTATATTTTATTAGCTTTCTGTTCAAGATTGGCAGATTTTCAGTGTCACTGCATCTTGCGCCGCCCCCCGCCCGGTTCTTACACCTCTCACACTGAATAGGTGTACTTGAGCCATTCTATTTATTACTCTAGTTTGAGTTGCAGCAATGGTTTTCGTCTTCACGTTTATTATATGAATCAGGACACCCAGACTGGTTATTGACAGTCGATTTTCTAGTTCTAGGTCTTTTTTCAGGCTCAAAACAGGATTCATTTTTTTATATAGGGTCTATAGTTTGTTATGTTGGCTAATATGATGATGGGAAAATATAAATAAGTAAGAACAGATTGAAATACCAAAGTCTCTCAAGATCCCAGTGCCACACTGACATGTTGTTAACTGGATATAATGTACCTACATGTGTGTGTGTGTGTGTGTGTGTATTCACAAACATATACATGTATTATATTAGATATAAATGGAGCACACGCTTTCATTGTTATGTAACGTGTTCCTGGAAAATGGATGAGGCCCCCCTTGGAAAATTGAGAAGCTGGTTTGGCAGTCACCCAGTATTATAGTCATCTATTGTTTGAAGACTATACTACAAAATGTACATTTGCATTCATTTATAGACATTTTGACTCTTTATCTTTGATAGATTGGCTTTTTTGGGGATCATTCTTGACGTGCAGCGGCCTGATTTTTCCCTCGAATTGGGGTTTTGACAAAAATTTGGGGGTCTTGAAAAAATTTTCCAGGATTTGGTGGGGACCCTGTATATATGTATTTATGTACAGTTTTATATTATACCATTGTTAATCAAATTTCACCACAGGAATCAGAAAAAGTGGAATCTTAATTTTAGAAATTTTTTAACATGTTTCCGTCATAGCTGGAGTATGTTGCAGCTGTTTTCGAGGGAAGCTGTTTTGGGACGTTAAGTAGACTATGGATGGTGTTATTGTTATTTTTTTCCAAAATGTGCTCTGTTTTGCTGTATTTTCTTGTCCTGCTTCCACCACTTGATTTATCCACTAATTTATGTGCAGTCTACAGTTCAGCTGAAGTTGTTTTGTTTGTGATAATCCTTTACAAATTTGAAGGCAACTATGTGTCAAATAATAACTCAGTAAAGCATCCTCTTGAGGATTCTAGAATGCTGTAGTTAGTTCGTAATCATTATTGGTATACTCTTCATTTGCATTGTATATTTCGATGCACAGGTGCATTTAGAGTATGCTGACGCTCAGGCAGGGGATCAGGTTCTGGTCACAGAAGATTCTGTGAGTACTAGCAAAAGTTATTGCTGCATTTTATTTAACATCTTTAATGTTTGGTGATTGGAGCTGATGTGTGTTTCGATTGGATCAGATTTCATAATTTTGTTTGTTTGTGTTTGTTAATGTTGTTGAAATAAGGGAAATTTCCTGGAAAAGAATTCTGATAAAGATATGAAATATATGGCAGAGGGAGAATTCATTGGAGATTGTCAAAAATCTTCTGTATTGAAGCTTTGGGTTTCTGTCAGTCTACCCTCTGCTCCTGACTTGGATGTACTTATCCACTTATCTGCCTACTTAGGTTTGTAGATATGGTCAGATTGTTGTTTGATTCAATGGATCTCTTCCTCTTCTGCATGAAGTAGACTTTAAGACGCACATTTTATGACTTCTTAAATCTCAAATCAAAGTTCTTTATTTAGTTTAGAGCCATGGTATTTTTACTTTGAGTAGAACTAGTGGCAATTGTCACTAATTGCCAGTGCATCCTAAGTTTGAGAAACTCAGAGCAGCTTATTACGTAGAAAATACAATTAATGTACCCACATGTCAATATTATATTTCCTCTATTACCAGTGATAAAGAAAATGTCTAATGTACTGATGTGGCTCTTTGTCCAGCTCACATTATTTGTGCAATCTGTGTAGGATCTTTTGGAACACTTATCTTGTTTAGCTCTAAATAGTTCTTCCACCAAAAAGCATGGCAGACGGATGACGCTTTACTGTTGTTGTTATCGATCCAGATCACGCTTTACTTACAATTTAAAAATTGCTTTCAAAGTATTAAAACAAAACCAACTTTATGGCGCCATGTCTGATGTTTTACATCGGAATTCTTGATTCAAAGTAAAATTTTTGGTGCCGCATGTAAAAGAAATAAATTAAGAAGAAAAAGCAACCAGGAGAAAATCTCTCACTTCAGCTTAGATATATCGATCACGTGATTAAATGTATGCCTCTGCACAAACGCATTCCTTCCTCGAGAGAAAGCATCTAATCTCAGGGCCTTGCTGGTTCACTTCAGAAAGCCCCGCCAAGATCACATCAAGATGTGTTCTGTGCATAATACTATGAATACTTGGTATTAATTTTAACCGGGAAAAATTATAATTGTAACAATAAAAGTAATCATTTCTAAAGCTTAGTCATCATCATCATGATAATCATGATCATGATCATGATCATGATCATCATCATCATCATCATCATCATCATCATCATCATCATCATCATCATCATCATCATCATCATCATCATCATCATCATCATCATCATCATCAT